CGGATATCGTTCAGTTTTGGGAAGGGAGTCAGGAGACGACATGGTAGTGTCAGAGCCGAGTGGTTATCGGCGAGAGAATGAGAGATTTCGAGGAGAAGATGTCGCTACCCTTTAGTCAGGGCTCATAACCTGTTAAAGAGCGAGAACTAAGGTAGCGTGAGTCTCAGTCAATGGTAGAAAGACTCTATTCGTGTAAACTAACCTAAGGTAGCGTGAGTCTGTAGGACCGCTAGTAAGTATCATGTATAGTATAATATGAATGGTATGCGCACCTCAGTCAATGGTAGAAAGACTGAGGTGCGAGTATAGCGTCTAGCCATCCTTAAATAGAAAAGAGAAAATGGTCAGTAACTAGGGTGGATGACGTCCAGTGACACTGGCAGCTAAGGTACATAGAACTGGAACAGTTAGATATATTTATCTGGAACCGGCTCGGTGCTCTGACGGATCACCTCTCAACATGGATTGTAGGTTGTCGGATGCTGAGGCCATATTTTGGGCCATTCCTGGGACATTTTTCATGCCTTCCATATTTTTGGAGGCATCACCGATTTTTTCATCTACAAACTTCGGGTCAAGTTGTTCGGCCTGATGACGGAACTTAGTACATTATCGAAACATAGATAAGAGCGTCTGATCTACAACAGTGGAACTTACGTTCGCAGGGCGGGCATCAGAAGCCTGTTTGGGAGCGGGTGCCACGGTGAGCGTCGAATGATCCTGCCCCAACAGTAAGCAATGATGATCGGATACAGGATATGCCCAGAGTCGATATTGCACCTACCTGAGTTGTCTGAGTGGGTATGGGATCCTGTGCCCCGGAACTTGCAGGCGTGGGTTCAGGGATCGGAGATTGTCGAGCGCTTCGAGTGGAACGGTTGATCACCTTGCCCAATAACTTGCGCCCCGGCCCTGGAGGTTTTGTGCAAGATTCATCCCCTGAAGGGGGGAGAGAGGAGACCTAGAAAGTCATGATTAAACACAACGAATAGACATAAGCTCAATATTGAATACCTCAAATTCGCTGTCTCCACTCTGCGCTGGCAAATGAGGGTTTGAGTGGCTTCGCGGGCCCAGCAATCGCGAAAGCCGTTTCTTCATGACTGAGACTGAGTCTAAAGAGGTTTCTAGGTGAAAGAGGACGTGGATGGGATGCAAGGTCAACAAGCGCCCACACGCAGAAGATATTCACATAAGCAATAATGGAAGCGCTTATCACTTATCATGCAATCATTGGGGGCCGAACTTGATCAATTGGCATGGTTGAAACATTGAAGACAGATTGGTGAGTACTGGTGTTCTGCATATCACAGGCTGCTCGGCAGCAAGGTCCACAGATTGCTCGCCTTTGTTTGCCAGCATGCAATGTGCATGCCTGGTTAGACGTGCGCCGAATACACTGACTTCTTCCACAACCCGTTATCCCATGACCCAACCTATTAATTAACCCGGGCGAACCGCTACTACACCAAGTCTAGATAGCTCAATCAATCCTTATATATTCTAACTCTCTTGAGTCAACATCCAATCAGATGCTAACTAATTCATACCTTCAACTTCTTCCATAACTAATCATCCAGCATGCAGCCTCACTACTGGAATTGCCATCAGAGAACTGATGAGTCCTTGACATGGTAGCTGTGGGAACTATAGGAGGACATAACTCTGCTCCTGCTAAAGATGGTTATGTATACTGTGAGAAATTTGAGTTATCGGCACATAGCTATGGATGTCTGAAAATTTAGTTTACCATGAGGAGTTCGCGACCTTGTTGCGATATTGCACCATTGTGGCCAGCAAGCTATAATAGCGTAGTTAGGTCCTACATGTTGAACAATACAATGTTCCCTTCTTTATGTTTTGAACTACAAGATTATTCATGACTTTATCCCGGAAAACACCATTAGTGCTTGTCATCTAACCTAGATTCGTATGAGAGCTCCCGACATGGTGATGAATTTTCACCATCCTGACCGGCAAGGTATGACAGTTTAATTAGGTCCCATTTGTTGAGCAGTCTGATATTCCCTCATTTATGTTGTATTTACAAGGCTTTATCGTGAGATTCAAATATTGCTTCAATTACAATGATATCCGAGATCATCCACTTATTGTTTGGCTTCTACTTATACCAGATTTCTGTGTATATGCCGCATGCCGCAGCACCGTTTGCTACTGAGGTATAGTCTCTCTTAGTCAGACCAAAAGAGAAGGAAGACAGTTCCTTCTATATTGTGGCTGAGGCAGAAGTTAACTCGGGTGAATGAAATTCGAGGGTCACGCTAAATACGTGGTTGTTTGGCAAAGGCTTTAGATCCAAACAATCACCCAGTAATTTTCTGCAAGTACATTATCAATGAACCGATGAGTCCTCGATATTGTAGCCATGAGAACCGGAACTTAAAGGTAAATACAGGTGAGGGCCCACAGACATCCACCCATTCACGCACAAATGAAGCTTCCCAGGATATGCCTAGATATAAAGCGATTAGATAGATCATAAAGCGAAAAGACGTCGCTTACCTTCAGAATACCAGACACCTAGTTTTTACTAAAGACGAAAATCTCCTTGATGTCATTTGAAAGAGTGTATCGTGATGGCATCACAACCTTGTCATTGAGGTCCATGAATATTTTGATAAGCTCTTCATCCTCAATAATGCTGAATGACTGATGTTGATGCAAGACCCAAAGTGCAAGCCTCACGCGAAACTTGTGTGGCATATATGTCGAGCCATGTGCAAAGGACGTCAGAGTTGCCGAACCCACATGGGGATCACATATTCGGATATGGCGCATAAGGTTACTGGTGCTGTCATCATGTCTGGCTTGGGTCACAGTCTGTGAAGGGTTTCTACAATCTGTCAGTATTATTGTAATGGGAGATTTAGCTACAATGCCAGCCGATGATGTTATATAGATGTATCCTAAGTGGACTATAGTCCTAAAAGTCCGATACATACTCTTCTGTAGTCATCCACTATCCAACGGGATGTATCCAGGATATATCCACACGAGAATCGCATTGCCGGCTTCCTTTGCTTATAAATCACGCATTCTGGGATTACAAATCATACTGGCGGTGATCGTATACCTCAAATGGACGATTCTCCCAAATGTCCGGTTCCTCCTGATGGGCTTCCATTGACTTCTTTGATGATCTCGATCTGAGGTATGTCAGTCAAGCTCGAATGTACCTGACCAGAACTTTCTAGATTAGAGCATTCCAGGATGGGGCTCTCAGGCTGGGTGACCTTTCATATACACGTTCAGAGGCTACACTGAAAAATTTCAAGTGAAAATGAAAATTCTAATACAATCAAATTCATGAGCATTCAAGCTTCAAGTCAGCGTCTCAGATCAGGCAGTTTGTGTCCTGACACACCAGTAACTCGTGAGTCCCACATTTCACTTATATCTAAAGCTCGATGCTGACAGAATGCATGTATGACTCTTCAATGGTTTTGTTGATATAGGTTCTGTGTTCCGAGTCTGGGCTTCGCACAACGCCTGCGCTGGGCTCCATCAGGAAAAACTGTATCTCTATATAGAGGACCATCCTCTATATAGCCCCGATAGCACACCACAGCTCTATACAGTCTATCGCAAGCTATCACAGCGCTATAGACCAGTATAGACATCATGAAAGTCTATATTACCATAAAGTTTGGTAAGTGTATTTAGAAGTAAAACATTTCAACAACTATAGACCCCAGTAGACTGTGGGAACTTTTTTTGATGAAAACCAAAGTTGTAGTCCTTGTCAAGGGAAGTCTATCCATAGTCTAATGACTTCAATAAGTTAAGATCCTAGTGAGTTACAAGGAAAATACTCGAAATCGAAGGGTTCAAGAAAGCAACTTGACCGTGGGAACCTTTTTCGATTAAATCAAAGTTGTAGTCCTTGTCAAGGGAAGTCTATCCATAGTCTAATGACTTCAATAGGTCAAGATCTTAGTGAGTTATAAGGAAAATACTTGGAATTGAAGGGTTCAAAAGTGTTAAGGTACCCCTATTTATGTAAGCAAAAATGCGAAAATTCACCTTATGTGTATTCAAAATCCTAATGCTAACAGTCAATTTCATTGTCTTTTTCTTACTGTCATAATCCTAGTCCTAATAAGCAAAAACTCGAAAATTCACCAAGTCTTGTGTTGTGGCTTTGTTTGGCACTGCTTATGTAAGCAAAAATGCGGTCAACCAACAAGTCTTTTCCCATTCTTTCCTTCCCCCCCACTGCCCCCTCATTAGATTATCTTCCATATTTCTCTTACAATTTTCGAGTTTTTGCCTCTCTTCTCTTCTTCTTGCTTCTCTATCCTTCTCTTGGTGTTGATGTTGTTGGTGCTGGTACTGGTGCTGGTGCTTTGAACTCTGGTAAGTCTCCCTCCATAATTTTCGCATTTTTGACTATTTGACTAATCTTTTTTCTAACCCTCTCCTTCTAGCTCTCTTCCCTCCTGCTCCTCCTCCCCCCAACTATTTTCGCATTTTGACCATTTGGCAAGTCTTTTCTCTGACTCTCACTTCCTCCTGTCTAATCCTCTCCTTCTAGCTCCCTTCCCTCCTCTTCCCTCAAGAATTTTCGCAATTTTCACTATTTGGTAAGTTCTTTCCTCTCTGATTCTTCCTTCTAGTTCTCTTGCCTCTTCCTCCTGTAATTTTCGCATTTTTGCCTGTTTTGTAGTTATTAGTTTACATGTATTGTAGCAGTTGAAATATAATTTGGAATTTTCGCTTTTTTTAATTTTTAATTTTGAGAACACTATCATGGCAACAAACAGCTATTAAGAGAAATTTTTGCTTTGTGTTTTGAGCTATAAGAGCTACAATAGCTACAATAGTTGTGGTATGTTCCACCCAGCTATAGCAACTTTAATAGAGCTATATAGCACTATACACTGGTGTAGTAAGCCTGCACAATTGGGCACTTGGCTATATGAGCTATAGGGCTATGGAGTCTGTATAGCAGTCTATAGTGCTATGGGTGGCTATATAGCCTTACCACATTTTCCTGATGTCCTAGCCACGTCGACCCACCACTGGCACCCTCTGCAGTTCTCTAGTGGTGATGGCAGGAGCTCAGTTAGCACCATATACGATACATTTTACTATAGAACATGATGTTTAATATTAATAGAATTTTTCCCCAGTCCCACCGCTTTTATTTCACATTATGCGCAGCACTTTGTATATACTCGATCAAAATTCTCAAATTCTTCATTAAGTGGTACGTATCTAATGAAAATGAAAGCAAAAAAACATATAGATGCAAGAAAGATAGTATATATGTCTGTCTGTTTTGCTTCCTCGAGCTCTTCAAGTTCAGTAGTTTTGTAAGGAAGTTTGGAATTTTGTCAAGAAAGCTCAAGGATCATGGACACCATTTTTGGTTTATGTATCATTGGACTTTTATAGGTCTTTTACTAGTACGTGCTGATCACAAAGTCTCTTGTTTCACAAGCTTGAATTTACACTCCCACCTCCTGCTCTCCATTCATGCATCGTTCAGGCTGCTTACACCTTGCTATCACCACCTCCTGCTCTCAGTTTGTGAGTAATTTTGTTGTTTGAGCTGCTTACACCTGTGTCTGACCACATCACCCCTAAGTTCTGTACACTACCATTATCCTGACGAGTTGCTCATCAGAGCTGGTTTCTCTTGCACATCCACTGTCCCTTCTTGCTTCTTGCTTCTTGCTTCTTCCTGCTCCCTTGTTCTCCTCCTCATCTTTGACTTTCCTCCTCCTGCTCTCATCCATTGGAATCAACAACCCTCCTTGATCACAGTGACCCGCTCGTCAGCGCCAGTTTCTCTTGCACCCGCATTGCACCCTCTCGTACCTCCGTCAATCCTCTTGCTGGGCTGGATGGTGTAGTGGGCATTGCATTGTTGTTGCTGGAGGCGGTGGGTGTTATTGTCTCTCGGTTGGTGTTGCAGGGGTGTGCTGGGACGAGTACCAGAGTGAGTGAGTACTCACTATCATTGTGTGTCCACCATCCCTTCTAGCTTCTTCCTTCTTCCTGCTTGTCTCTCTCCCTCGTTCTCCTCCTCATCTGCTTCCCTTGAGGCTCCTCCTGCTGTTGTCCATCATCCGCACTCATCTGAGCCACGTCAGCAGTTGCTGATGTGCACTGGGTGTTTGCGCATGGTGTTTGTGGTGGGCATTGTTAATGCAACACCTCGAGATTGTGGTTGAACCCGGTTCAAACGTGAACCAGACCTTCTGAACACGTTCAGCGGCGTTCAGCCCAGAGTTTGGCCAACAGCTGAACCTGAACTTAGGCTAGTGTTCGGTTTAGTGTCTAGAAAATAATGACAGAAAACCAGACTGAACCAAGCCCGAGTGTGCCGTAAGGGTCTCTTTGGATGCACCTCCTTGTGATTATATCAAGGGACCAACCTGATGAATAATAGCATTTCTGGACTGCGATTGTGAAGGTTAAATTGATGTGATTCTTGATCTCAGAACTACATAGTGATATGGTACCTGGGGAGATCGCAAGATCGCAAACACTAAAATAATATGACCGCCGGGGATGGACGTCAATGGACGGCCACCTTCCCAGAGCCGTGTATGCCATTCTCAGAAGTTCGGTAGGCTGGCTGATTGATAACCATACAGAATGGATGTATTCCAGAGTGGATAACTAGACTTAAAGATGTATCGGACTTTTAGGATTATTAGCCATATGGATACATCTTTCTGCCTGTATCCTGTGACAATGCACCTTTTACACTGAAACACATATGAGACCTCATCACCATCGCAAGAAATATCTGGTGCCTTGAAGTGAAGATAGACATTGGATCACCACCTGGTCATTTGTTTTTCTGAAAAAATTGTCAATATATGAAAAAGTGGAATATTGAAATGCCCACCAAGAACGTCTTTATCAGAGTTGTCAGCAACAGCAAACTGTTTCTCGAACCTTGCTTTTCTGTCTGTGAAGGCAATCTCTGAAGGTGCAGAATCTGCCACCTCTGAAGTTGCACTTGATGCGGCAGTACGAGGTCGCTTGCATTTGACTGTTGGTGAGGGTGCAGGGGTTAGAGAGCCTTAAGAAGTACCATCATCGGAGGATGGCAGGACCACAGGTGATTCTGCGTGAGCTCGTTTGGACTGTCTGCGTTTTGGCGGCATGTCTACACAGTGAGGTGCCAACGAGTTCAACTGATAGATATCTTATGTAACACAACCAATGCAGATGTGGGTGGAAGCATGGCAGAGGATAGATGAGCAGTTTTGGGGTACACTTTTCTGATAGACAGAGGAGCCGTGTCATGGTCATTGAAATGCCAAGAGATTGTGTCACTGTCAACCACTGAAAGCAAATATGTTGCAGCAACTCACACCACCAAGGAGGTGCTATGGCTACACTCATTCATTGGGCAGCTTTTCAAACCATTCACCAAACCTATCACCCTCTTCTCCAACAACCAATCGGCAATTGCTTTAACCAAAGACCATTAGTATCACACTGTGGGTGAGGAAAATAGACTCTGTAGTGATTCAGATGTCTAACAAGGGTGCAAGACTAATACTTGTCCCAAGAGGATTGCTACTGGGTAGCGGGTCCTCAAGTAAGTGCGAGGAAAGCAAAGACTAGACTCTGTCTAGCGACCCGATGGGTTCCGGTCCCTACTAGGACTGGGAATGCACTGATATGGAAGGTACGCAACAAGCGGAACAAGCGGAACAAAGCGCGCAATGAATGGAACTAATGCACAACAAGCGGACCTATGTGCAACAAGTGGAACTAACAGGGAACAAACAGAACTAACAGGGAACAAACAGAATGAATGGAGGGAAAAGGAAACTATGAGCCTGTAGGAGGATGATTGGGCAAAGTCGGACCAGGCTTGTGTCTGGTACTTGCTTCCAGTCATCGGATCTGATGTCGGGCGTTTCGAGTGGAACTTACGGAGGCGGGGAACATTGCGATGAGATCAGGAATAGATTTGGGAAGATATTTTAAACAGTGAGTGGAGTACTGGGAAGTACTCTGTAAGTGGAAGTGAAGTCGAGTCTATCAGAAGGTAAAAAACTAAGATCCCATCTATTGCTACCTATATAGGAAGGGGTTCCGAAATGTGCTATGCTACAACCAGGTGAGGCTGTGAAATAAGGAACTGGTTCCGAGTAGTGGAAAGATCTGTATAAGTATTGTAACACATATGAAATGAGATAGGAACATGTCAGTAACACAGGGAATGTAGCTAGTACTCACCAGTGAGGATGGAAGGATGGGGACAGGACAGAGGAGGATGTTCCGAAGGCTAAAGAGATATGATGTGCATGGTGTGCGATTGTTCCGCTGGGTTCCACTTGGTTCCGCATAGTGGACGGGTCAGATAGGATGCAGGTGGGGTAGCAGAACGGTAGCGGAATGCACGGGAAGATGGTGGTAAGGCTTGGGAATTATATGGGATACAGGCCTACAGTGGGGACGTTCCCCACAACACCTGTACAAAACACATCAACATCAGCTTCCATTTCATCTGTTGGGTTATCAAAGCAGAAAAGCTCAGACTCATCTTTTGCCCTACTGTCGACATGATTGCTGACACACTCACCAAAGTGTTACCATTGCTGAAGGTCAAGCATTTTGCATCTCAACTGGGACTCTGCGCAACTTGAGGGGGAGTGTCGGAAATGAGCAAGCACACTCACGGTCAAGGCATGCCATTGTTTGACCTTGTTCTCATTCATTATGTCAGGTGATTTGTATATTTCTTTTATCCACTCTTGTTATTCTCTTTTTATTGTACCTACTGAATTTATTGACTGCATGGGCCAGCACCATATATTCTTTGTTACAGTCTCAGTTACTTAATTCATTCATACAATATCATCTCATCTACTTAGATAGTGGCAGACTCAGACTGTCACCTTAGATGTTTGCCTTTGTGCACATGATCTGAGGTAAGATACCTAGCTTCTACTTACATTCACCTATACTCACTTCTCACAGAGAGTCTGTTTTGATCTAGGTGAATACTAAATACATTTGCCTTTGCGTGCACGATCTGAGAGAGTCTGTTTGATCTAGACCTGCACAATTATATTAACCTTTTAGTTAGCACAGTACTGGACATTAGCTTCTGACTTCAAATCCAGAGTTATCACAAGAGCCTGAATACCACTCTTCATCTATTTGGGGAATTCCCATCAGGCTAACTTTGGAATCAAAGTGTGATTAACATTAGGGGGACTAGGGTATTGAACATTGAGATTCTAAGGAATGTGTTAGGTCTATAGGCTATGATACTAATATGTGCAGCTGCTGGCTCCCTCAAACAAGCTTCAGAATGTCCTCCATACTTCTTAAAGTGTTCTGGTTTGAAGCCACAGCTGCAGCAGGGGAAGTTGAGTGTGGCCTGTAAGC